AATCAAAACTCTAGTGCCTTAATTAACAGATATGTCTTCGTTCCCCGATATGTCTGAATCTCCTGGCAAAGTTTTGACAGGAAAACATCTTGGTAAGTGATCACATTGTTCAAAAACTACCATAGAAAAAGTTTTTTTGCTATGACATACTAAAAATAAGTAACTAGATAGACAAAATTATTTCACCCTAGTTGAGTACCGGAGAACACATCAGACAGGAGACTAAAGGATTCAGATATCCACATTTCAAAACAGAATAGCCCCAGACTAATACATTCCTTAAAAGACTAATTCTTCAGGCATGAATTTTCACACCAGTAAATTAATATTTTGCCTTAACACCTATCATTTCGATCATCTTAAGAATAAGTGTGGTATATAGAGCGACTGTGAAACTTATTCACAATTAAGGTATCATTAAAGCCTGACTCTTTCTGGTCAATCTGGCTGTGTCAAGGTCCAAAGAACCAGGCTGAAGACACTTGTTATCAGGACAACTCATTGGCAAGCCTTTTTCAAGGTTATTCCAGAACTTTCTCTAGAAGCTGCCCTGAGAGTGGAGAGCCTTAAAATCTTCATGGGCCACTAAGCTGATATTTAAAGATGTGTTGGCAAGCACATAAAGCCAACTTCTACCGAGAACATTTTTTGCAAAGTATTAATGCCTTTGCCTCCTTTCTGCTTGATAAGAAATGGCTGGGACCATTTGTTAAGCAAAGAATGAATGAAAGGGTTTGGTGCACAGAGAACATTTTTTAAAGCACTCCTTCATTTGTATAAGAAAGATGAGGAATCCAAGACAACTCTGACATAGTTTGTTCTGTGGAACCAGTACCCAGACCAGGGGAACTTCTCCAGATCTAATGGGTCAGCACTTCCAATACAGTAGGTCAAAGCTTCTGTTTGCATTTGCTTTTCTCCCTGCATTAGTAAATCTGTCTGATTTCAGAGGGCAACTCCAAGCCCTTGCTCTGTGGTGAGTTTAAGCTCTAGGGTGGAGACAGTGGCAACTTCCCTTCCCCTGAAATTGCACCACAGCCTCAAATGTGTGTCTCCCTATTTATTCGTTGGGGAAGCCTTCCTGAAGACTAGAGTAAAAAGGGAGGAGGCTCTCCACATTTGAGACTAATGGTATGTGTGGGCCAATTAAAAGACAGTTGGCTCTAGAGCTACTTAAATCTTATTTAACTGTTATTTAAGGAATATAATAAGTTTATCTGAAGCCTAGAATGATAGTGCTTTCTGCATTATTGGTCTTGAAGGTAGATATCAAAGATTCACTGCCAATGAATGAAGAAGTAGAAATTCAAAATACATAAACACCTTCCTACGAGGAAAGACCTCCATGGAAGTTTTTAATTAAAGACCCAGCCCTCATGGGAAATAAAAACACACAGAAGTTACCAGGAGTTAAAAAAAAAATGTAGGGGAGAAAACAATACATTTCTGGCATCCAGCTCCGGATTTCTTAAGGTCTTTGATGGGGGATTACCCATCAAATAGAGATTTTAAAAAGTAATCGGATTCCTTTAGGGCTTCTTAAGGTGTAACTTGCGATTCAGAAGAGTGTATGTGTTTGACCTTTTTCTTTATCTATCCGGGGGATTAAAGTGAAGTAAACATCTAAAACAACAAAGCAGAGATGCACTCCCAGGTGGTCGCCACACCCTCCACTCCTTCCTGCAATTACAGCAGTTAGAGCATTCAGGAGACTAGCAAGCCCTGCGGAGCCCTGCCGAGAGTCCTCCAGAAGACAAAACTCCAGGCTCCTGTCCTCCTCCTCTGGTAATTAATCTCTGCTTTTCACAGGAAGCGTCTTTGGCAGTGCTCAGCATTTGCCTTTAACTCTCTGACTTTTTTTCTTTTTCTTTTAGCATCGCCACCGTCTTTGTTTTGGGAAAGGGAGAAAGGCTACATCCGGGATATGTGAATCTCCCATGGAAGAGCACCTAAGCTTTGAATAAGCAATGACGCATGTAAATGCATGTGGCCTCCATCGATTCAAGCGTCATCTCGTTCCCCAAATAACTCAGAAAAGCAATGCTAGCCTGTGTTTCTTTATGAAGATGTCCCAATATTTTTAACCATTAAGAATGAGGTAACTCTTTAATGAGTGCAATAGTGTCTTTTAAGCTACCGCAAACATCAAGAGAATATAAACAGTCTATTTATGTACAAGGGAAGAAAGAAAAAAAAATCAGTATTTTTAACTCTTTCATCCTTCACTGTGGTTTCCATGGAAACCATAACATGAAGCCAAGCAGTTACTTCGACATTACATAATACTGTCTGATGGTTAGTTACTCCTGAATAACCGTGTTTATTCGGTAGCGTTCTGTCCATGTAATCAACCTTATCCCCGAACGCTCTAACTGCTGTAATTGCAGGAAGGAGCGGAGGGTGGGGCGACCACCTCGGGAGTGCACTCTGGATTAAATAGGGACCAGAGTCCTGAAATCCTTTATTGCCATGGGACTTTCTCCTGTTACTCATCTAGAAAACGACAGGCTATGTTTGCCAAAGAAGAGGTGCCTGTAGAATGTGCCTGTGAACTTGAGGGAGGAGAGCCTGGTGCTGCTGAGGTAGGCTGGTTATGGACTTGATGCATTAAGGTGAAGGGAAGAGGAGCAGAGGTATTTGGATTCAATTACAAGCGTGTTGGTCCTCTGCTTCCTTTTAGCAGGAACGGGAGACAGTTAGCTCCGATTCTCAGAGGGCCTATGCATATGAATAAAGCAATCAGGACAAAAGATATCTGCGATGAAAATCCTTGTTCCATTTTTAAGACCACGAGTTTTTCCCATATGATCACTGTTGATTGAAAAATCGTTTGGAGAACATAACGGGCCACCAACTCCCCATGACTGTGCTTTGGCTTGTCGGTTTGCTTGCTTTTTAATTACTTCATGAGACTATCTCTGGAGTCTACATTTGACTCTTTTCTCATACACAACTGTCAAAAAAAAATTCCTTGTTCCCCTACATTACAGATATATGACAATAAAAAAATTGTATGTGTGAAGATGAATGACAGACTGATGATTTGATATATTTTACATTGCTTAACTGACCTAGTGAGCAAACTCATCCCGAAGCTTGAATGGTCACCTCTTCTTAGGTCACCTGGGTTTTCACTCATTGTTTTCACTTACTGAAGAACACAAAGTTTTGCTATTTTCCGGTGATTTAAAATAATACTCAGCATGACTAATTCTTAGAGACAGTGTTCTTTACAGTATGGAAATACTTGGCTTACTCATGCATGACAAGCATGATCTAGAGGAAATTCATTTTCCTTCTTCTCCCTCTCCTTCCTCTTTCCTCTTCCTTTCAACAACAATTAGTGATTTAAATAGATGTTGAAAGGGTCTGTTGGGAAATCAATGGAATCCAAGACACGCTTTTTAAGCTCACTCAGCTAAATATTTCTATAGCTTTATAACCAACTCAATGACGTTCCTGTTCTTTATATTCTTATTGAAAGCACGGTGATAGTACATTTAGTTAATTGACAAAGAAAGTAGATAAACTAGAATTCCACTAAGATCTCCAAAATCCTCTCACTACAAGCAATGAATCTCACCTTTTATCAGAGGGGTGGGGTCCAAAAAGCAAGGACAGGCTGCTAGTTACAAAAATAAGACCTGTGTTCTAGCTCCTTTCCTGTAGCTCTTCATTCTCTCTCACTCCATAAGCCTGACAGTTTCTCATGGCAGAGACCCAGCCTTCTTTTTTATGTAGTCTTGAGAATAAAAAAAAGCAGGAAATTGACTTTCCCTAGGTTTCTAGAGACTGTTTCTCTGCCCTCTTTCCTCTTCTCCCTTCTGCCAGGGTAGGCTAGTTGAACACACCATCTTTCTGTTATATTCCTCTCCTTCCTTCCTTGTCTCCTGGGCATCATGCCTTGCAACCCAACTCATTCCTTAGAAGAGTTAAATCTGCTGAGATTCCAAGTCCCAAACTAGTTCCCTCTGTCTGTATCCTCCTCACTCCATGCAACCCAAGGGAGCTTTTTCTCTTCCTTCTGTAGGGATAGTTAGTCTGCATGATTCAGCCCTACTACTCTTAAAAGATCACCTAGTTAACCGTTGGCAAGGTTCCCTTCATTTACTGGTAAATATTTATAGCCCCCCATCCTGTCAAGCTAGGGAAAGTCCACAGAGACGAACGATGACAATAAGATCCAGCCTCTAGAATTTCCCTTCCTCTGGCTTAAACGTCTTTACATCCTCAAGGCATAGCAAAATTTCTGACTCACAGTTCACACTTACTTTGTCAATTATATATACTTTGTATATATACATATACATATATACAGAGAATGTTATGCATAGCTAGTCACTCATACTGGTACTAATCAGAAATTAACAATGTCACATTTTAGGTATATGTAGATTACAAGTTAATACAAATCGCCCTCTAAAAATAGGATCATGGTCTGGTAAGTTGTCACAGACATTAAAGTGATTGCTACACAAGCCTCAGAATGTGATTTCTGATCTCCAGTATCCATGTAAATAGTTAAGTTTAACTTAAGCACTGGGGAGGAAAAGATTACTTGAACCTACTGGCCAGCCAACTTAGCCTAATCAATTTTAGGCTCCCTGAGAGACCTGGTCTCAAAAAACAAGGTGGAGAGTATCTTAAGAAAAAATACAGTCTGTCTTTCAGTATAAGCAAACATACACACAACACAAAACACACACATACACACACACACACACACACACACACACACACGACATTTGAGCCTTAGACAATCAACAAGAATCATCATCAACATTCTTAATGACTTTATCTCATACTGGAGGAAAAGGAGACACTCATATGTACCACTGGCTGGAACAATCTTGCCCTTGGACTTGTTTTCATATTTTTCTTAGAATTACACTAATAGTGAAGTCTAGCTGATTTCTCTCATCCGGAAACAGGAGCATAAGAGGATGCAGGGACGTGATTACTCCAAGACCAGAAAGCCCAAGCCACCCAAGTGCTCTCAGGACTATGGAACCTCCCAGTCCACTGCGGGGGGCACCACACAGACCCTCAAAGGTGACAAAGCCCCTTTGCTATACACAGCACTGTTTAAATAGCTGCTACAGGCAGCAGAGTTTCTTGGGTTGGATGTGTGGAGCTTACACATTCTAAGAATGAAACGCATTACCAAGCTTTGAGTGTGTCTCACAGCCAATAAGCTCCTTCTATGATGATGAATTACCATCCTCTACTACTACTGATGGTCTATCCTGGGCATGATTAATTTCTCATTTGTACATAAAAGATCCATAACAACCTATCATCTGATTAAGTCTACTGGGATAATAAAAGGATATTATCCTAGGAAGGTAAACACAGGGCAATATGTTGCTTTAAATTAAAAAAGAAGTGTGTTGTGATCCTCTCTTGATACTAGAAAAGCACTTGATAAAACTCAGACCTATTCATGACAAACACGTCCAGTTCTCTAATTACTGTCCTCACTGGCCAGACGAATCCCGACAAAAGAAATATAAGGAAGTTGATTTTGGCTCAAACTCACAGTTTGAGTGCATAGTACATAATGGTGAAGAAGGCATGGCCTTGAGAGCCTGAGGCAGGTGGTCATGTGTCCTGTGCAGTCAGAAAGCAGGGAAAGGAGAATGCTGGGTCTCAGTTCCTTTCTTATTCAGTCCAGGACTCCAACCTATGGAGATGGTGCTGTTCTCAATCAGGATACATCTTCTCTCCTCGGGGGAATCTCTCTGGAGACATATTCAGAGTTATGTTCCCATGATTGTTCTTAGACCCTTCAAGGTGACAATCAAAATTAACTACCATGTTCAGTAAAGTAGGAATAAAAAGAAACCTTTCCATGATCCTTAAAAGTGAAATACGAAAGAGATGTATCTGTCTTAAGCCACTGGCTTCTCTTCCAGAGGATCTGAGTTCAATGCCTAGCACCCACATGGTGGTTCACAAGTGCCTATAACTCTTGCCTCGGGGGAATCCAATGCCCTCTTCTGGCCTTCATGAGCATCAGATAGCCACATTGTACACAGACATGTATATCCAAACGCATAAAATAAAAGTGAAAAAACAGTGAAAATATTAGAAATACATATTCCCATCACAATTTATTTTAATTTTTGTAGCTGTGGAGACTGATGGATCTTATACATTCTTGGCCAATGCCCTACCAGTGAGCTGTAACCCTTTTGGATTTTGTGATACAGATTTTACTCATTTGCCCCAGGTAGGACTTGAACTAGTGATCTTTCTGCCTCAGACTACCCATAAGTAGCCAGGACTCAAGACCCAGGCTTCAATTCTAATTTTTAAAAATGAGGTATTAGCTTGCTATAACTCACTGTTCAACATTGTTTCACCAACCTTGCCCAATCAACTTGATAAGAGGAAATAGAAAGGTGAGATACCACAAAGGAGCAGACTAAACAGATTCTTATTTTTCACAAATTATCTATTCCAATGAATGTGTCAAAGTTTTCATTCTCAGAACAATATGAGTGTTCATGTGACTCTTACTTATGAAAGGTTTCAGAGCTAGGAAAATCCATAGCCAAGGCAGTCTGATGTCAGGTCCTGGAGGGTTTTTTTTTTTCTGTGTTAGTTACATCTCTGTTGCTATGATACAGTACCATGACCAAAAGCAACTTCAGGAAGAAAGGGATTACTTTAGGTTATAATTCCAGAGGAATCAAATCAATAACAGTAGGAGAGGCATGGCAACAGGAAACAGGCAGATCCCATTTTTTTCTACACCAAGACTGAAAATGCAGCACGGGGTTGGGGGGAGGAGGCAGGCAGGAAACAGCACTAGGCTTAAACTCTTAAAGCCAATACTCAGTGACACACTTCCTGCAGCAAGGCTCCTCCCCATAATGTTTTCATACCACCCCTAAATAGCACCAACAACTGGAAAGCAGGTGTTCAAGTACATGAGCTCATGGGATATGTGTTTCATTCAAACCCTCCACGGTCCCCTGATAATTCCTAAACACAGGTCCAAAATTAAAAATAAGGATGACCGATAATGGTCGTCACTATGAAAAGTAGGCTGCCATGCTTCCTAGCCATTTAGCTTCAAATGTTTAAAAACAAACAAAAGAGTCTGAGAAGCTTGCTTAAATGCCACAGCCTTCCCCCTGATTTAACAAAAATAGAAACAAAAACATCATTAAAATAAGAAAAATTTCGAGAGCCACAGAAAAAAAAAATGTGAGCCCTTAGCCTCCACTGGCTCCCCATTGTGAAATTCAGAGGATGTGCCTTTACTGTTTTCTCACTGCATGAGACCTTACAGGTCAGCCAAAGCCTTGCTTTTCCTGTGAAAATTGCAGTTCATTCATATGCCTTGGGAGCTTGGTAAGAAAGTATACCTCAAATGTCCTGAGCTTCTCCTTCAGCTTTACAAAATTCAAGCTGCGCAACAGAATTATGAACTCAGGAGAAAGGGAACACTTCCAACAAGAAGACAAAATCACCAGAACATTCTATTACCCACAGAAGGATTCAGACCAGTAAGCATAACAAACACGGGGATCCTGTGACACGCTAGCACTCACTGTCATAAAGTGAAGAAAAATTTATATCAAATGTCTAATGTCACTAAATATCAAGAATCATGCCTCAGGGAGAAATTTTCTGGACTTCTTGAATGGAAGAGACTCTATGAATGAAATAACGGAGATCCCTTTCCTGGAAGACATACCTCATGAACTACCAAGCTACTCTCACAAGTGACAATCAGTATGGATATAAAATGTGTGGGGAAAGTTTCTGCCATAAATCATCTTTTACTATACATGGGAAAACTCACTGTGAAAAGAAAAAAAAGTATGAAAATATTGCATGTGGAATCCTCTTTGCAAGAAGTCTCAGGTCAACAGCTATCAGAAAAGTCTTACAAGAAAGAAATTCCATAGATGTAATGAATATGGAAAGAACTTTCTCAATACTACCCACCTGGTAATAGTTTTTAGAATAAAAGAAGGGAGGGGGGAAGATTGTTGGTATCAGGCTCCGAACCCAGTGACATCACATCTAGGCGACCCTCACATCGTTGCCAAGGCAACCTCTATACATTCCTAGAATCCACCTGGCTACCTCCCACCTTTACCTTCAAGAGCCTAAGTCACTGCCCATATAAATAGGCAGAGCCCCCTGACCTCTCTCCTTGCTCTTCCTCTTCTCCCATTTTCTTGCCCCCACCTTTGCCCTATCTCCTGAATAAACCTCACTTAGAATTGTTTGGTCTAGTGTGGTCTGTCCTGAGCTACGTGCTCAAACAACACCATTGGTGCAGGGATGACTTAATGGGTAAATTGTCATGCAAGTTGAAGACATGAGTTTAATTGGTTAGAAATGAGAAATTATGTAAAACCAGGCATGTACTAACACATACACACATGCACACGCATACGCACCAGCACAGGCACATGCATATGAACAAACACAAAAATGCTCTCTCGCAAAGAAAAGGAACTTGCATGGAAATAAAAGCAGGGTAGGAAAGCAAATCATAGCCAGGTAGTATGTGTCTCCCAAGGTAGACACAAATTCACCCACCTATGATTTTGTTTTCCCTTTTTCTTTTCTATTATTATAAATAGAATTTTCTTATCAAAACATTTTGATTATGATTTCCATTACCGCACCCTTCCAAATTCTGCCTCACCTGGATGCACACCCTTTGTGTTTTTCCTAAAACAAAGAGGCATCTCAGGAATAATAATAGAATCAATAAAGATACAATAAGATAAAACAGAAACAAACAAATCCAAGTAGGTTAAAAAAAACCAAACAAATGGAAGAGAAAAGATGAATAAAAAGCACAAGAAACACATATCGATGCAGAGACACACATGTTTGCACACACACGGATCCTGTAAGAACACAAAATCGGCTTCTTCTTTGGGAAAACACCAAATGATGCAGCGGGAAGACCCGGAGGACCCGGGGGTCTCAGGATTAAGAGGCCGCGGTGGCTTCCGCGGAGGATTCATCAGCGATCTTAGGGACCATGGTCATGGTCAAGGCCGCGGGGCTCATGAAGGAAAAGCTAAAGACAAGGAGTGGATCCCCGTCACCAAGCTGAGCCGCCTGGTTAAAGAAATGAAGATCAAGTCCTTGGCAATCTACCTGTTCTGTCTGCCCATTAAGGAGTCTGAGATCGTGGACTTTTTTCCTGATCTTCAGAACCTCATCCTTTAGGGACTACAATGGTCACGTTGGTCTTGGTGTTAAGTGCTCCAAGGAAGTTGCCATTGCCATCCGAGAGGCCATCATCTTGGCCAAGCTCTCCATTGTCCTTGTGCGGAGAGGCTACTGGGGGAACAAGATTGGCAAACCCCACACTGTTCCATGCAAGGTGACAGGCTACTGTGGCTCTGTGCTAGTGGGTCTCATCCCTGCCCCCAGAGGCACTGGCATTGTCTCTGTTCCTATCCCCAAGAAGCTACTGATGATGGCCGGCATAGACAACTGCTACACTTCAGCCAGGGGCTGCACTGCCACCCTGGGCAACTTTGCCAAGGCCACCTTTGATGCCATCTCTAAGACCTACTGCTACCTGACCCCCAACCTCTAGAAAGAGACTGTGTTCACCACATCTCCCTATTAGGAATTCACTGATCACCTTGTGAAAACCCATATCAAAGTCTCTGTTCAGAGGACCCAGCCTCCAGCTGTGGCTACCCCATAAGGATTTTTATACAAGAAACATAAATGAATTAAGTCTGTTAAAAAAAAATGAACACAAAACCAGAAACCATAATATATACACAAAGGACAGATCAGGCACAACATTAGGAGACAGAAAGCCCCCAAAGGATGTCATTCAGTTCATTTTGTGTTAGCCATTTACTGCTGGGCATGGAGCCCTTAAGAGAGGTTTGTTTCCCCAGTGAGACTTTGAGAAAACTGATTTTTGATTTGCAAGTAGTTATAAATTGGAGATAGCTTCAGGATCAGGGATGGGGGTGAGGGTGTGCATCCACTTCTTTCATCTCTAGGACCTCACATAATGCAGACCCATGTGGTCCCTGTGCACACTGCAAGAGTCTGTTAGTTCGTATGTGCATTGATTGTGCCGGATTTAGAAAGCCAGGCTTCCTGGGTGTCCTCCAATCCCTC